AGCATCAGAGTGTGGTGAGGGCCTGCTTCGTGGTTCATAGAAGGCTGCCTGTTGTCATTGTTGTGTCTTCACATGGATGAAAGTGGGAAGTGTTCCCTGGGGGCTCCTTTATGAAGAAACCAATCCTATTCATAAGTCATCCACCCTTATGGCCTGCCATTTTACAAAGACATACAGCTTCCCACCACCACCGCCAGTCACGGATCCAGTCCATGAACTAGGGAGGGGCGCATGCATTCAGTCTGCACAAAGCTGTTTCTAATCCCCACTAGAATGTGTTTCCTGTGGCACAGCTCAGCCACATGGGCACAGCCTTGGTGCTCGATAACCATTTCATGCATATTCTATATTGCTTATTTAGGGAAAACGGCATCCTTATTACATATTGCTTCAAATCCTTGAGAGAACAAGTCAAGAATAAAAAACCACCACGAAATAACAAGTTTGATTAAATATGGGTTTTGTTTTTGAGACACAGTCTTACTATGTCATGTAGTACTGACTGGCCTGGAACTCACCCTGGAGACCAGGCTGGCCCAGAACTCACAGAGATCCACCTGCCTCTGCCTCCCCGGGGCAGGGACTAAAGGCACATGCCACCACACCTCACCTCAATAGGTTTGAAAAGGCAGTGCCCTTAGGAATTCCTTCACTGAGTCGGGTTGGCTCAACTTTTTATTTATTTATGTCTTTCACTTTAAGCATTAATTAGGGCACAGAACCTGCATGCCCTCATGCCCATCAACCCTTGTGGAATGTTTGCCTTGTGACTTTCAACACTCAATCTCAACTCACCTCTGAGTTGAGAGTCCAGACCCTGTAACAGTAATATGTTTCCATCATGAGAGCCTCTCTTACAAAGGATGTCTTCCGGGGAGTCAGCAAAGCTGAAGTGCTGTTGGTCTTTGATAAAGTATGCATCCTTTTGCAGCTGGGCTCAGCTGTTCACAGCTTCTTTTCCCCGGGTGCAGAAAGTCTTCTCATTTCTCTACTACAGCAAGAATCTGAATTTATAGCCATCTGAGCTCAAGCCCTTTGGTAGCCTTATCCTTATATGCATCCTTGTATGGTATTTTCTTGCCAGTGAGGAGAATGTGTGTTGATTGATTGCTTTCTCCTGCAAGGGTTGCATTGACAAGTTTTTCAGCCATGTGCTCACATTTTCTCCAACAGTGCTTCTGAGATGAGACGTAGGCTCCCCGCTTCTTGTACCTATCCTTATTTTGCTTGAACAAAGCAGAATAAAGCTGTGCAAAATTTTGCCACATTATTTCTAAAATGCTAAATTTTTAATACCAAAATACAGTTATGTCCCTAGGTAGTGTATAAAGGTCCATAATAATGTACATTTACTTGACTTTTGCCCCTCACATCTGACCCTGAAATAACATTTGGCTATTTCAGCAATAATACCCAAGTTAATTTTGAACTTGTGTCTAACAAAGATACAATTAATGTTTCGAGAACAGCACAAAGTTTCCTGCTGAGGAACTAATGCCCACAGCTTCAGCAAAAACCCTGGTTGTATGAGCTGCACTGCGTCTCGTGGCAGCCTTGGATAAGTTATTACTCGCAGTGTATTTATGACATCCGTTGCATCTTTTCAGAGCACACCCTTCCCTCTCTTTTATTGCACTCTGTAAATTGGGCAGTCTGTATGTAGTTTGCACTAGAGCATTTATTGTGTGTTTTATGGCCCTTATGAGACCTATTGTCTTTCATTATTTTCCTCCTTTCTTTTATCTCTGCCGATTATAAATTGCTTTGGAGTTTTGTCTGCTTTTTTAATTATATGCTTTGCATTGGGAGGATTCTGCCATATTTCTACAAGTTCCTAGCCTCTTGCAGCCTAGAAACTGCATCTTCCTTGTGTCTCCAGAGTCTCTTGTTTTTTTCCTAATCACAGTGTTTTCTCTGAGTTGGACTCAGAGGTCATCAAAGTTCATAATTGGCTTAGGAACTCCTAAGTCAAATTCTATACTTCCTCCTCCTTGTCAAACTGGAGAATGTACCTTAAAACTAATTTCTTACTGTGGTAGGTCCTGAGAGTTAGATTAGTGGTTGAAACAGTGTAGTTTATTGTATGTAAAAACAAACATGTGGCTTAAGAACTCTGGCTTTATCTTTAAAGGTATGAGGATGGGATGTAGAGATGTACTCTCTCTTGGAAGACCTAACTTAACACCCATGTCAGTGGTCCACGGTTGCCTTGTAGCTTCCGCTCCTGTGGATCTCGTGTCTCTGCAGGCTCCCTAGCACACATGCTCATACCTCTGGCCCTCAGGTACAGATGCATACATTGAATGTGAAATAAAAGAAATGTTTTATTATAAAACGAACTCTGGCTTTAGAGTTGGGCTTCCTGGGTCCAAACTCTTACCCCCTCATATTCTATCTGTGTGCTTTTGGACCAGCCCTTATATTCTGGTTAGATTGTGCCCCCTCCTCACTGAAATCCTGAAATCCTGATCCCTAGCCACTCAGTAAATGACTTTGTTTAGATGTAATTAGCTCAGATAAGGTCATATTAGAGGACTGCAGGTCCCGAATCCAAACATGCCAGGTGCCTTAGTCTACTTCCCGCTGATGGAGCAGAATTCCACAGTCTGCATGGCTTGTAAACAATAATTTTTTATGGTTCTGAAGGCTAGAAAGTCCAAGAGCATGGACAGGCACCTGGCATGGGCCTCTGTGCTGTATTGCAGCATGGTATCTGTGGCTGAAAGGGAGTACGTGAGTATGCTTCAGAGAACAGATGGACAATAGGCAGAAATCCTTCTCTTTATGAGGAAATGGCTCCCATGGTAACCACCCCACAATCACAGTGTTAACCCATCTATGTGAAATGGTTCCCATGGTGACCACCCCCACAATCACAGTGTTAACCCATCTATGTGAAGTGGTTCCCATGGTGACCACCCCCACAATCACAGTGTTAACCCATCTATGTGAAGTGGTTCCCATGGTAACCACCCCCACAATCACAGTGTTAACCCATCTATGTGGTCAGAGTCCTCATGACTATTTCCCTTCAGTGGCAACAGAATTTCAGAGGGACATTCAAACAGTGGTAACTGATGTCTATACAAACAGAAGGAGCCTGGATATAACCAGTACACATTATGTGGAGATGAAGGCAGAGACTCACAACCAAGTAGTGACACAGATCACTGGAGGAAACCAATTCTACTAATGTCTTATTTTGGAGCTCTGTCTTCTAGAACTGGGAGTTTGTAGTGTTTGAGGCACCCAGGCTGTGATCCTTCCTTACAGTAGCCTGAGCATCTAATGAAAATAACATCCATTAAATCAGGCTGTTTTGAGGGTTCAATATGTTATTATATGTAAAGTTCTTAGGGCAGTGTTTGGCATAGAACAAGCACTAACAATGTTAATTAGTATATTTGTTAAGTGCTAATTATGCACCATAGGACTTCTCAAATGCTTCTTTTTATTAACTAGATATACAAAGTTATGATGCCAGAAGAATAGTAGCCTGCATATACTCATAAGATATGAATTCCTTCATTCTTCTTCCGTAAGTCATTGTTTCAAGAAACTAGCAGCAATACTGACACTACAGCTGATGTGACAGTCACCATTTATTAGCATTTCCCACACAACAGGAGCTATTAGAGTTTCTGTGTGGTTACCTCCATCTCCCCACTGGCATGTGTGGTGGTGGTGGGGGGTGTCCCACTGGTGTCCACTGTGATATTTTCAGTGCTTTCTTTCCATGGTCACCATTTATGAGCCATGTCCTCCTCGTCTTAAACCTTTTTGACCCCTCCCCATCAGCACCAACATTACAGTTCAGAAAACAGCTTTCTCTCTGCATGTTGGAGTGAGTGTAAGTCTGTCCCAGGCTGTGTAGACCTTTCCCCTTCATCTGGCTATCTCCTGTGGAGTTAGAGGTGACCCAGCACTTAGGCTCGAAGCTTCCATGATTGTTTAATTTCTCATGGTTTTTTATGAGTTTTGATAGACTCTGGAATGGCTTTACTAAGCCAGTGTGTGTCAGGATCTCAATGTATTGGGGCGGCAGATACTGGAGCAGCTATAGTCTGGCTAGCCTTTGTTCCCTTTGGCTTCTCTGTGTGGTGTCTCTGTGTGACAGAGTTGGGCTTCTTCCCAACTTCCTCTCCTCTTCACAGAGGTGGAGCTTGTGTATGGTGGCCCTGAGTTGACCATCTGTAGGACATAGGGGCAAGAGCAGGCGCTATCCTTGATCTTACTCTGAACTTGCAGCCCAGGAACCGAAGAGGAAGTCTCGCTGCCAGATGTGAAGTCTCAGCTGAACTCTTGCTTTTACACCCTGTTAAAAAATCAACTGAACTCTTGGTTTTACACCCTGTTAAAAAATCAGGGCTGTGCATATGGGGATTGCACTGGTGATGTTTTGAGATATATAACGATTGCAGTGTTTGAAAAGGATTTTACAGCTTCTTTGAGAAAATAAAAAGAGCATTCTGTGTATTCAGGCATTTTTAGACTTTTTATTGCTATGCAATGCTAAGAATTCAAGGGAAAGGTTTGTAAAACGAGTAGGTGAAGGTTGAGCAATATCTGAAAATCCACTTGCAAAGTTTTTATTTCCTTTTTTATTGCTCATTTATTTTACAATAATGGTAAGTGCTACCTCTTCTCTTCTGCTGAACTAAAACATCTGAAGACTGAGTAAAGTCGGTATTTATCATATCTGCCTTTCTCCTGAAAGCAATAGTTAGCGCAACATGCTGAAGAGCTCAGATGTTTCCAAACCAGTGTGAAATGGGCAAGGTGAGCTTTCAAGTGTTCTCCTGGTCAAAGGGTTTACAACCTCCTTTGAGGAGATGTGTCCACATGCCGTTGCAAGGCTCATCTGAAAACTGAGTGCGTTTCCAGTGCATGTCATCAGGGCTAGGTTGGGCACAGACAATCCTGTGTGAAGAACTACACTCCATTGTCAGGAAGGCTTGGGTTGGGTGAGCTGATCAACGCCGTGTTCCACTGTCTTGCAGGTCCTCCACTCCTTCACAGATGCCATCTTTGACGAGTGGCTGAAAAGAAACAACCCTCCCACAGATGCCTGGCCTCAGGAGCTGGCACCCATTGGTCACAATCGGATGTATAACATGGTTCCCTTCTTCCCACCAGTGACTAATGAGGAACTTTTCTTAACCGCAGACCAACTTGGCTACGATTATGCCATTGATCTGCCAGGTAAGGAATACAGCTTCTAACTGGGTGACTCACTCAACTTCTAAGGGAGCTTTTTTTCTCTCTCTTTCTTTTTAATGTCAAACGAGACTGTTAATTGAAGCATTCAGGCTGAGTTAAGTTTATTGGCTATTTTCGAGAATATCTTGGATTTAACAAGGTAAGTCATCAAGCTACCAATTAAACATCAGAAAGGGACTAGCTGCAGATCATTTGGGAAAACTGTAATAGTTAAGAGACTTTATTCTACAGAGACACTGTCTTATCGTTCTGCCTGATTTGACAGTTTTATCTGAACTAACCAGATCCATAAAACTGCCCCATGGCCAATGAAATGTGTAACTGATGAAGTCAGTGACTTTCACTCACCTGTGAGCAGGGAGGGACTGGCGAGCTCATCTGCAGGCAGAGTGGCGATTATTGAGACAAGCTTGAGCTTGCTGCAAGAGTCAAAGACAAGAAATTAGCAAAAACTCAGCCATTGTGCAAAGTAATAGAACGCAGCATTTTAAAAGATTGTTGTTATTAGTGCAAAGCCTCCATGAAGACTCACTACTGTGGCTTTGCAGGCCAACTGTTGTTTATTTGATTGAAATTACTTCACAGCTTCACCAGGCATTTTCTTTCTCTCCCCCCTTTTTTAAAATTTAGAAACAATCTTATTTTACGTATCAACCCCCTGTTCCCTCTCTCTCCTATCTTCCCGTGCCCCCCACGGACCTCCCCCAACCTACCACCCACTCACTCCCAAGGATAGCGAGGCCTTCCACGGGGGATCATCAAAGTCTGTGACATCATTTGGAGGAGGGCCTAGGCCTTCCTCCATGTATCTTGGCTGAAATAGTAACCCTCTGTATGCACCAGACATTTTCAATCAGCCTTGACTTCTCCAATGCAGTAGGGACAGGTCTACCCAGGATGGCACTGGGCTAAGTGGAGGTAAGGCTTGTTTTCAGTCACACTTTTTTAGTCTTGCTTTGAAATTGTGGCCATTTGGAAAACTAATTTCAATGGATTGAAAATCCATTGGGAGGATATCTTTCTAGAACAGAAGGGAGGACTCAAAGAAGCCAATGGCCTGGGAGCTTAGGTGCCACTTTAAGCCCCAGAGTGGGAAATCATGGAGGCATGACAGGACAAAGAGCACAGAGAAGTGCTTCTTGGTCTCTGACAAGTGGTGAACTATGGGAAGGGAATCTTGGGTGAAGTAATGGGGGCTATGTCTATTTTTGTAAGTTTGTGCAATTTCATAGCTGACAATTTCTCCTGGAGGGCTTTTTGGCAGTTCTTGTTTCTTGTGAGTTTTTCCATTAGTAGCTAAGGGAGCTCTAGATCTGCTGAATGTCAAATGCTTCCATCTCCAAATGACCCTGTACCCACAGGCGTGTTGTGGGGAGAGGTGTTCTGATCCCCTTCTAATGAAAGGTAGAGAGCATCGAGGGACTGGGAAAGACTTTGTGGAGAAGGATGTGAACCTGACTTGAGAGGACTGGTAGATGCCAAATAGCTGAGCAGGTGTCTTAGACAGAGGAAGGAAAAGGATGGACAGGGAGGGGCACAGTGGCCTCCTGAAGGCTGGAAGAGGAATCCGTGGTTTCGCTCAGATGATCCCAGAGTGTGCGGCGTGTGGGCAGGCTGCGTGCGGCGTGTGGGCAGGCTGTGTGTGGCGTGTGGGCAGGCTGCGTGCTTTCAACCAAAGGAGAACCAAGATGCGTCTGATACCCTCCACAACCTCCCTGCGTCTTCATTGCCCTTTCTTTCCAGGCCGCAGGAAGGGGCTTTCTCTCAAGTCCCCATTTGCCTAAAAGCCTGGTGCTCCAGAGGATCAACAGAACAGAGGAGGTTTGATGGCACACTCAGCAGCCAGAGAGCGTGTCCCCAGAAAACCATTAATTTCCCCTGAAAAACCACTTAGTCTTTCCCTACAACCACTCCTCAGTTCCAACCAAGTGAGTCTTAGAGTTTTACCCTTCGTGGACTCCCACGCACTTATGCGTCCATGAATTTGGGCGCCTTTTCTTCGTCAGTGTGCCTATCGTCCGTCTGCTTCTTTTATGGGTTCAAATAATCTTAGCTTCAGAGAATGGAATGAAAGTCATTTTCCTGCCACACCTTGCCATATGACAAAGGCCTAGGCAGAGTCATTAGGTATTATAGAAGAATGAGAATCATCGTATGTTGATTACAACATCTCAGTTTCATAAAACAAGAAATGTTTTATAGACAATGGTGATGACAGTCATATACAAATGTGAAGGCACTTTAATACCACCAAATTACATTAAAAAACTATGATGATAAAAATCTATATTCTAAGTGTTAGTATTCAGACATCTGCACTGGCCTGTCCTTGGGGATCTGACAGGATCCGCCCTCAGCCGAAGCCACTAAGAACACCACCTGTTTGTAATCACTATGTTCTCTTTTAAAAGGGCCCCGCCCACCTCCCATCTCTCTCTGTCTTTCTCCCCTCTCTCTGTCTGTTTCCTTCTCTCTCTCCCTCTTTCTCCCTCTCCCTATTTCCCCTCTCTCCCCCTCTTTCCTTTCTCCTCTTTCCTGCTGCTCCTGTCTCCAGAGGCTGGTCTCCTCCCTTCCCTTTCCCCTTTTTATGATCCCTTTCACTAATGAGAAACCCCTCTGCTTGAACCCTGTCACATGGCATCTTTCTCTCTCGTGCTGCTTTTCTTAAATTACAAAAAATATGTGTGCTACCAAATTTAAAAATAGTTTTTAAAAGGTAAGAAGGGTTTGGACAGTAAGAGGCAGTCAGTCATTTTTGGTGTCTCATTAAATAAATGGCAGAATAAAAATCTGTGATTTGGTGTTTCTTGAGATGGGATCCCCCAATATGGTCCTGGATGGCCTGGAATTTGCTAAGTATTCTGTAGATCAGGGTGCCTTCAAACTCACAGAGATCTGTCTGCCTCTCTCTCCCAAGTGCTGGCATTAAAAGCATGCACCAAACAGGCCAAATTTCCTGCTTTAAGAAGCTATCACCAGCTCATACACAGTCACCCACACAAGATCAAGGCAGTCTACAGTTTACCACTGAGGCAGGCAGCCTCATGAGCCCCCACCCTCAACTGAGACACTGTTCACAGTTGATGGCTTCTAGGGTGGGGAGTCAGCTTTCTTTAAGAGTGTGATCTTGGTCTCCAGAATGATAACTGGGAAACCAGCATGGGACTGATCCAGACCCCATGAACGTGGGTGTCAGTGAGGAGGCCTCAGCAATCTATGGGGCCTCTGGTAGTTGATCAGTATTTATCCCTACTATAGGAATGGACTTTGGGAGCCCATTCCACATAGAGGGATACTCCCTCATCCTAGACACACGGGGGAGGGCCTAGGCCCTCTCCCCAAGGATATGACAGACTCTGAAGATCCCCCATGGAAGCCCTCACCCTCCCTGAGGAACAGAAAGGGGATGGGATAGGTAGGGTGTTAGTTGGGAGTGAGGCAGGGGAGGAGGGGAGGGAGAGGGACCTGGGACTGACATGTAAACCAAACAAGCTTGTTTCTAATTTAAATAAAAAATGGAGAAAAAAAAAGAGTGTGAACACTGATAGGCCCAGCATGCTCCAGTAGATGACTCTGTGCCGGGGAGTATGAGCAGCCGGTATTGAATTCATTGGGTTATCAAATAATTATAAAAGGACAGGAAGGTGGAATTGGGTGAGTAAACAGAGCTGGACCTGGACAGAGTTAGGAGAAACGGTGGAAGGTGAAGACCAAAACACAGAGCATGACGTTCCGGAATAATCCATAAAAACATTACATGGTGAAAGGGAGAAGAAGTCATAACTAGCAATAAGTCCTGCTGGGTCCTACCAGGAGAGGACAATGGCATTCCTTTTGGAGGGATGCAGTCAAGAAGGGCCATGGCCCTTGGTGGGGCTGGAGAAGGAGGAGAAATGTAATCTGTCCTCCCCAGGAGGGTCAGGCGTGGGAAGAGAAGAAGGCCTGGAGGGGATGAGCTTCTACAGCTGCTGATAAGTTGTAAAGAAATGGCACAAAACCGCAAGTGTGTTTCGAAAATGTGTTAATGAAAGTGGAGGAATGCCATGACGGGTGAGGAGATTAGATCTATCCCGGGAGAGGCTTAGATTTTATTCACGACTGTTTAAGTGGATGCAAAGAGTTCTGCCCCTGCTCGTGAGGGTCCCTGTCAGGAGAGCCCATCTGATCCCTTACATGTGTTTGTCATCCATCACAAGGGTAGAGACAATAGGAGAATTTTCTGCTGAGGCTTGTTCATTTAACAGCTCCCCAAAGACCATCTTAGCTCTTATGTCTTCAAATGACTTTCTAACTCACAAAAGCAGTTCTTCATTTCCTTAGAGGTTTTGTTCTGTATCCAAACATTTACTGGAACAGATTTACAAAATATAATAAGCCTTATTTCAATAATGCGATAACATTTCCAGCTTCTTGGAGAAAGTGTTGTGGATATGATAAGCAGCAAGAAAAGAGAAGATAAATTGTAGCAAGGGTAGTTTTGCTTTGCAAACCAATGTTCTTGTGAAAGGCAAACATTCCTTCCTTCATTAGGAGTGTTTGGCTGATGAAGCTGTAATTGAAGAAATCTTCTTGTCTTTTTGTTTCAGTGGAAAAAGCTCCAGTTTGGACCACAACCCTCTCAGTGGTCACGGGAACACTGGGAGCTTTCGTCGGTCTCTTGGGGCTGCTGGCTTTCCTTCAATACAGAAGGCTTCGCAAGGGCTACGCACCCTTAATGGAGACACATCTAAGCAGCAAGAGATACACAGAGGAGGCCTAGGGTGCTCTTGTCACCCTGCCCCAGGGAAGAGGCTGACCAAGCCATAGTGCTGACCTAGGCAGTCACCCGCGCTGATCTTGCTTTAGGTGAATGTCCCCAGCATGCGCTCTTTGGTAGTGAGGATGACCCCGGACAGAGATGCTTACATGTAGTGGCTGCTTTGTTTATTGCACATCGGCAAAGATGCTTGGGCCTGTCACCATCACCAAAGTGTGGTGGGGTGAGTTATTTGTGACCGTGTTTAAAAGTGCTTATGTTGATCAAGGCTCTTCCTGTTCTGAAAGCATTGCCGCTCGCTACCACCAACACCACCACCACCATCACCACCACCACCACCACCACCACCACCACCAC